CAGCCTCGATTTTTGGTATTCATTTTTTATATTGGAGATTATACACAGCATACATCCATGATATAAAAACAAAATATGTATATTTGATATACTGCCGAAAGAGATTAATTAGTACATTATAAGAAGTTTAGTTTTTTAAAATTATATATATATATAATTTATATTAACCTAAAATATTTAATATTTTATTTTTATAAAATAAAATTGGCATTATATATATTTAAAAATATATTAAAATATAAATATTTAAATTATTTTTAAATTATTATTCAATTTTAACAAATTTTGATATATACTACAACGTGATATAAAATTATAATTTAATAGTTGCTTCAATGAAATTCACATTTAATATGAAATTATTAAGTGGTTTAATAATTAAATAAAGTTACATCAATATTATTTAAACTCTCATCAATTTTAAAATGTATATAATACATTAATTTTGTTCTATAAAAGTGAATGTCAAATTATGTTAGATTAATATAAAGTCTTGTATATATGAATAAAAAACCTTCAATAAAATTTATATTTAATATAAAGTTATTAAGTGATATAATATTTTATAAAAGTTAAATTAGTATCGTTTTAACCCTTCTCTCTTTATATATATATATATAATGGATATACATGATTTTATAATTTTTTTATTGTCTCTACATCTAGTAGAAAGCTTTATACTTAAATTTTTAAATAATAAAAATTAATTTTAAAAATTATTTATTTATGTAATTATTCAAATTAATTACATTTAATTACTCAAATTCTTAATATTTTTATTATTTAACTTCAATTTCTAATTAATTTTAAAAATCTTAAATATAAAAACACGAAATATTTCAATTCACCAACGGTGAATATAAAAGACATTTGAATAACTATAAAAAATGTCATATATTTAATTTGGATACTATTTTTATTTAGTATTATTATTCGGTCATTATTGTATTTTTAAATGGTATTAATATTTTATATAGTATGTATTGGGAAATATAATTCATGTTTTAGATTTCAATAGAAATTATCATGCATTTTTAATATACTATTTATTTTTATTTTAATTGATTTTTTTATACTTTTTTATATTTTATAATGTATATAAATGAGTAGGGAAACTTTTTTCTTACTAATTATTTACACTATTCAGTAATTTTATATTGAATGTAATTTTTTAAAAATTTATCGTTAGATGAAGAGTATGATACTTCTAAATCATATATATATATATATATAAATTTATATTAATTTAA